ATTATCGATAGACTAATAAAGGGAAAACATTAGGAACAATGGTAAAACACTATTATTAATGCCTCAAGTAAATATGCGATCTACGTATTAGGAAATTCGCTACAGTGAGCATCAAAAAAAAGTACCCAGGCTATTTTCAGTGGAACATGGATTTTTCCACTCTAATTTATTACAACCCGCGCCACTTCTCACGCTGCTAAAGCGTATTATTCCCTTACTGTACACCTGGGAGACTGGTATATACCTATCTTACCTCAAAGTGTTGTCTTGCTTGTAATAAGAACCTAAACATATATACAAATACATACAACACACATGAAGACTAGGGAGGTCTCTTAGGTATACATCTCTTAAAGTTCACAATAAAATTCAACGCCTGACTCATATAACCACCCTAGCTTCTAATCAGATTCAAGCTTAACCACACTAAGTATGGTGTTAATGTCGATGATACTGTGGCTACTAAGCCGAACAGGAATTGCTCTGCTATTGGCTCTTCTTTCTCTGATTCATCATGAGTAGCTAGACAGGTACTCGCGACATCTTCCTCATCCTCACCCAGATGATAAAGCAGGGATTGCAGTCCATTTAGCTTCTTTGTATTTGAAAATTCCTACTAATCATTAACAATTATAACGACAGTTAGTATTCTACAACGCTTCTAAGAGTTGTAACTGTCCTTGCTGTGATGATCTGATGAGTTTTAGGTGGCCTACTTCACAGAAATACTACTTCACTCCAACACGTATCTTGGGAAGAAAGGATTACCAGATTCTTTCAACTGTTAATCATGTTACCATTCAGGCGTGCATAAAAGGCTAGCACAAAATATTCTATAGGTATTTCACCAAAACATTTTACTTGATACTTTGAGCTACAAGAATTGTAAGACTCTTTTGACATTGCATCTATTTCCACTGCTTACCTATACTGTCATACTAACTGCTCATAAACTTCAATACCAGCCATGCAAATTTTGAGGTCAATGGTGCGCTGTTACTTCAGTAATCTACTGATGTTACTCTTCTAAACTATACGTAGATAGATAGTTGCAATGTCTTGTGAGAGAAAATCTCACAGTAAGTACCATGCAAGTCTAACAAATTTACTATCAGAATTTAGCTGAACTACACTAATCAGACATAATTATTATTACTAGAATTAATAATTGTTCTGTTGCTACCTTATTTATCAATATTCATTCTAACCAACTGTAAATGTGCCTTCACTGTCTAGAATGGCCGCCAAAGATGGATCATTAGGGGATTATATTGCCAACTAATCGTGTTATTTAGCATTATAGAAAAATAATATAGGTAACTTCAACGATGAAAATGCTTATATCGCTAAAAGGTCACCCAATTCATCTTCCCCGTCGTTAAAGAACACAACTCTCTCACTGCATGTGGAGGAGTCAACCACGATAATGTGAATGTATGACAGTTTTCCTCGAGAAATCCGTGGCTGGTTTGGGAGAACCACTGCTACTTGAATAAAGGTGAGTGTCTTAATGAAATTTCAGACTACCATTTTTTCACTGAAAAATTCCTCAATAGTTCAGAAAGCAAGGGTCAAAAACTCTTTAGATCAATGGTCAACAACTGTGATAACTGAGTAGCAATCCAATAATGTATTGAATACATTGTATCCCACACAACCACCAAATAGTTTGGAAGTCAAGGAATGCTCTGTACTTTCATTCAGTAATCTTTCAGCTACATGTTGTTTCAAATGTTATCCATATGTTTTCTTAGACTCACTAGCTCAGAGAGCAAAGGTACAACATTCTTTCAGTTATTGGTTTCATGATTAAATGACCACCCTAGCTGACTTGTTACCTGAATCAAGTAATCAGATGTAGGCATCAGCACAATGGCTGACCATTGCAGCTGTAAAGATACTCCTCCTTATAGACCACTTGACTTAATCAAACTCAGATCTATACAGATACAACATCAGGCATAGTACTGCCTGTCCCCCAATTTTTTTTAAATTTTAGACAATGACATGTATGCAAATTCCATGGCATTGCACATATTTCCCTAGGCATCTCCCTCACACACTAAAAAAGTGGTCTGCCTTCCTTCCATCAAGAGTTTGTGTGATTTCTCTGGCTAACTTCAAGTATGAGTTTCAAATGATGGGATAGCCATTGGAACAGTGGGTTTGAGAAGCCCTACATTCTACAACCATTGATTCCTGCTCCTGGAATTGCCTAGCAATGAGGTTGCGGATGCACCATCTTTATTTGTACTGCATACTTTTAGTTTTTTCTATGATCCATGACAACCCCAGTGGCTTGTCTACTATCTTGAAGAGAATATGTATTGCCCCATACATCGTGGTTGTCTGTAAAGGCTTGCCATCCCACCCTCTGGTGGGTCAGCTCATATTAGTGGCTTTCACTAACTAAAGGTAGTTCCTCCCTGGTTTGACATAAGGCCAATTCTCTTCATAGAGAGGTCCCAACAACCCAAACAATAATAAGTGGCATCCTCTGACAATGCTTGCTATCTTCCCGACTGGCAAGATAGCTTATGTTGGTGGAGCCCATCTACCAATAACAGTTCTTGTCTCTTCCTCTTTACTGGATGGCATACCATAGTAACAATCCTTAATAATTTTGACTCCTTTACTGCCAAGATTTAATCTCAGGAAAAGAACTTTGTCAAGCCTTATGGGTGCTCTAGATAACCCTTGTCCCCTGTCCCAAGCTCATGGCATCAGGGAGATGCATGTCAGGAACCTTCACTGCTTACCAAATAATTTTATTGTTTTGGAGGTCTATGTTTTCTCTAAGTGGGTTAATGGCAACACCGTGAATGCTCCAGTAAATTACGCTAATTTGAGCACACGTGAAAATAGCTTTCTCTTTAGGAAGATGGGTGTATGATCAGAGTAAGGTACATTGGAAGCTAAGGCAGAATGACTTTCAGTAAGTAAGAGGAGATCTGTGTGAAGTCCTGTCCTGGATGTTAGAGTTTTGGTTACAATATTACTTTTTCTTTTCTCAAGTGTCCTTGGAATCATAAGCTGATAGTTATTATTAATATCATTGACAATTAGGTCTTGAAAAAAGGCGTCAACTAAATAATAATAATGTTTAGATTAAATCGAAACTTTAACCTACCCGTTAATAAAAATCATAAACTCGGTACTTAATGACGCCTTTTTATTTGTCAGAGGCTTCTTGTTTAAATATCGAACCCTACTGTCAAATATTAGTTTACAATTGCTGGGTGGAAATATGCTGTACTATTTTTGTTGTTATAAACACACGCACACACTAGTGAGTTATATACCAACAGCAAATTATGAACATAAACCAGTGTAAAATCGACTGCTATAAACAAATTATGAAATGTAACATACTTACCAAATCATTTATAGTTTACTTCTTCTTCTGCCTCGGTATATTCTGAAGGTTATCCGTACCACTCACTTTGTGAATCTTTTGTAGGAACCACACCCAGAGGCTCAAATTAATAAGGTATAATGCCAAGATTATTATCATGTACATCCTCTAACTTTTTGTGTAAGTTATAAAGCTTATTCTTTTGCATCTTCTGTGATTTAGTTATCGGAGCAATAAACAGACACGCAATCTTGTTATCCTTCAAGCTTCCAGCTAGAGGACTGTAACTGACTAATATAAAGGAATTCTGTAAGATGGAAAATACCACAGAGTTGTAAGGAAGGTGAAAGTTTGGTGCAAAGGTCGATATTTTGCTGCGCTTAAATTATTCGCATTTTTTCCAAATACTGTTATATTCAGGGGGTGACGACACAGTAGTAAAACTCATAAGCCAACTAACATAACGACCATTGACTTTAGTGTGAGGAGATGTAATAATCATATTGAGAACCTAGTAGCAAGATGATGTGTTGTGTGGCTTAAGGTGCACTAACGGAAGCGAAAAGGGCTCAGGGATTAGTTTCTTTTATTTTGCTGCGGATCATTTAAGAAGAAAGATTTGGACACATAAAATTCAACAGGCTAGCTTCACTTCAACCAAAAACAGCAGTGTATGTTCGGACCACTTGGAATGTGACTGCTATGAAAAACATGTACGATCTGGTTAGAATTGGCTAACAAGGAAGATATAATAAATTAAAAGTAGATGCTATACCAACAATTTTTGTGGTAACCATATGTCAAAATGTAAAAATACAGGAGCAAACAGATTTGAAAACAATGAAGTTTCAGCGTCTTCATAAATAACAGTTCTCTGATACTGTACCACTACCATACCTCGAAGGTCATACGAAAAAAAGACAATATCGTGAGGTGAATCCTTGCTTTTGCTCTCTCCGTTAGTAGAAGTATGTTTATATCTGTTATATATAAAGATAGAAATAATTTAGTAAATGTTATTCCACTTTAATTACTCCCTTCTTACTTTTTTGTGAGATTTCCCATTGATTTCATTATTTGTGACCCTTAAATTACATTAAAAAGTTTTAATAGGACGTTATAATAGGCCCAGAACATTGCATTTCGCAACCAAAAAATCGATTCATCAATATTTTAATATGTGTTTATTTGAGTGTGTTTTCACGTCCAAAATGAAGTGATCTGAATATCCCCCGCTGGTACAGTGGTACGTCTATGGCCTTACAATGCTAAATTCCGGCGTTCGATTCCCAGTGATGGCGAAAGCACATGGTCAAATGTGGTTTAGATCTGAAATAAACAAACTGAAAAAATACATAGTAACTAAGGGAGTAGAGAACACATGGTAACGTCTTCTTCTCAGTGGTTCTGTGGTGCGTGTAAAACATAAATTAATTAAATGTTATTTCACACATATGCAATTTTCTTAATGAACTGCGTTTGTTATAGTTATTATAGATGAATTTATATAATTGCAAAACAAAATTTATGGTGCTGGACTAAAATAAAAACATAATTATAGAACGAATGTGTCGAAAAAAGGAGCGTAGCGACAATCAACGTCGATCTGTTTACCAAAAACAGTTTTGAAGTATGTTGGTGATGCCTAGAAGCCTCATTCAGACTTTCCGCTGAGCCACCAAGGGGTCAAGCAAATATCAAGGACGTACCAGTAAAATCTGATATGAGCTAGTACGCCTAAGAAGTACTTGGAAGTAGTTACCAGTAAGTTACTTAGTCAATGGTCCATTATTCTTTACAACGAACATTATTGAAATGTTGTTATTTTACTATTAAAATTTAAGTATTAAATACAAAGAACTTGGAGCTGCTTTTATATTCTTGTCACGTAAGTTTGGGAAGTTCAGTTTCTAAAAATTGAAGTACTATATAGGCTTAAGGAAGGCTGCATAATTTCTGAAACTACTAACGTGTTCTGTACGTTTTATCGTGATTATCTGGCACCTTTCTTCATCAAGCTACTAAGGTTTCAAGGGTATTAAAAATATCTGTTACTAGTTTTATTTATTTTTATTCTTTTAATAAACTACTTGGTAAAGCATTTTAAAATGCCCTGAAATTCTAATTCGTAAGACAAACTAAGAAAAGTTTTAATCGCTTTACAACACCTGTATCTCTGTTTTGGAAATACTACAGTCGGCTTTTCTCGTCATATGTAAACGATTTGTTGTAAAAAATACAAAATGAAAGTGTGACTCCCAATATAATTAATGTTTTTTTTTTTCATAATTGTGAAGTCACACTCGTTGATTTTTCTTGTGTAAACTGGATAATAGGTTAGTGTTCTAATTTTACAAGTGACCTTTCTGCAATGGGCCAAGTTATTTGTGTTGTTCTTTAAAGAAGAATTTTTTTTTGGAACTTAGCACAAAGCTAAACATTGAGATATCTGTATTCTGCCTACCACGGGTATCGAAACCCGGTTTCTAGCGTTATATGTCCGCAGACATATCGCCGTGCAACTGAGGGGCTTCAGAGAATAGATAAATATTTAGTTAACAATAGGTACATTTATTTCGATATACACTGTACACGGATTTATTTACTTCTTAGATGGCTAAGCTCAACGTTTCTATCG